CCTTCAGGTACTGGAAGGTGCTATAAGGTCTCCCAGGTTTTCTCAGTAAACTTTGCCATTATTGTCATCTGTTATCCTGCAGCAGGTCGGGGTGGAGGTGGGCTCCTGACTGCCTGCTGGAGCCAGGGGCAGCCCCCACAAGCTCTCCTTGGTGCCTGCTGGTTGATTCAGTGAGGCTGGAGGAGACTTTGCAGATAATTTTGATGTATACAGTGCTTGGTTCAACTCTGAGTGCTCCCTGATACAGGTCAGCTTCCTGGCTAAAGATCTTAAAACCCCGGAGAGGTCCAGACGTATTTCATTGAGCGGCAATCTCTTCTCCTGCCGCAACATTTGATCTTGTCTGGAAAGCGTTTGCTTTCAGCTCCTCGGTTTCTCAACCGAGAAGGCCCTGGCGCGGAGCAAGAGGACGGGGAAGCGTTTTATTTGCCTCAGTACTTTTATCTTCTGAAGTTTATCAGCCAAATCAAGCTATCCTTTTAACATGAGCAGTAATAAATCTTCCTTTGCCCTAACTGTCCAGGCCAAGTGGTCCATTCACTTCCCTATCCAAGTGCTCCTGGGACTGGAAAGTGAGTTTTGTTGTCTACTGATCCAAGTTAGTTTGTTTCCAAGAGCTTGAGATTTCCCCTAATGTTACACCGCAGAGTAGTGTGTGCACAGCGTTGTGAGACGTGTGTGCAGGAGTAAGGCTGCATGGAGGCTTATTTCCCTTGCACTTGAGCATTTTTTGTTCTCCCCGTAAAGGGAGGGAGCGAGATCTGATGTGCTCTGCATTCAGTGCAGGGAACGGATTTTGTCTCAGAGCAGCCCCGTTGCTGCTGAGGTGCTCCAAGATTTTTCCTTGTTTAGGAAAGCAGGGAGTTCTTTTCATTTTAAAGAAGTAGTTGCTTTGCAGGTTAATTGAACTGTTGTTTTAAAAACCTTGACTCTTCATGCTGAGCCGTGTGGGAAGGTCTGGTGGCAGCAACTTTTGTAAATGCCTGGGGGCGAGGGGCCTCCTAGCTAAAACCTAAGCTAAGTCACAGCCACAGTGATCTTCTTGGAGGCATACCAGTTCCCTGCGCTCAAATCCTGCGAGGTTCAACCCAGAAAATGGCAAAATTGACTCAAAATACATAATGCTTGGGATCCCTTTGTGTGCTTTGGGGTTTTGGACCTTCAGTGTTAACTTGGATCAATGGAGAGGTTTAGTGAAGGCTGAGCTGCTCCCATATTAATGTGACTGCACAGGCTGAGGCATTATGAAAATACGAAATATTGTCAATTAGAGTAACAAAATGTTGGCATCACTGTTTAGAAAATGTTAGCAAGTTGTTTTGCTGATGCAAAAGGAGCTTAGAGAGACATTCTTCACCAGTTCTAATTTAAGTAAGCACATAATCCAATATATAATTCTGTAAATCACTGCATGCCTGAAGTTATTTTGCATCATAATTTAAGGTGGTGCAGTTGCAGAATGTTAATTTTGTCTAAATAGGGTATTTTAATGTGTTTAGGGATTGTAAGTTACACTTCATAAAAATATGATGGGCACAATTTTTTTTCCAAGAATGACAGGTTATGATGATTTGAGGAGAAATGATGAGTGTGATCTTCAGCTGGCTTTAACTGGAGTGGATCCACACCGTTGGGCTCCTGCTTGTGTATCGTACTGAAGTTCTTCCTGTTGTTTCTTCTGCACTGTGTTCTTTTTCAGGATGAATTATCTTAATAGATTTGGTAACAGAAAAAGGGTCTGTGCAAGTTCTCTGACAAGGATAAAGGGCAATTACTGAGGTGCAGCCAGCCTCGGGTTACAGATGCCAGGCGAACCCACACTCTGACCAGACTAGAGCAGTGGCTCGGCAGCCTTCAAAAGCAGGCTGTGGATGTACACAGTGCCTTTCAGCTCACCGTATTTTGGGTTTATTGAGGCTGAATGCTCTCACGTGTCTCATAAGGTCCCGCTTCTGCAGACACGTAATGTGCGTGCAAAGCTTCGCCGATACAAGGAGACCCAGGATGGGCTGTGTGAGTTGATTACATGCATAAGGGTCTGCAAAAGCAGGGCTCACGCTTATCCAGTGGGGTGTTCTGAAGGAAATTGTAACTGCACCGCACACACGTGACATGAAAAAGTCACTTTGCCTGCTCCAAGGCAGGTGCTTAAGTTTAAGCACATGGGTGGCCCCATTAATCCTAACGGTGGTACTCAAGTACGGGAAGCACATGGTTAATTGCTTTGCAGGACCAGGATCTATACGCTCTCCCCAAGGCGTTTTTCCCTGGTGGTAACACATGCCATGAAATTTTTGCAGCCCAGGGTGTTAAGGTCCAAATAAGAATTGCAATAAGAAGGAAGAAGTGCATATGGAAATGTTGCAAATGTATTTGCACTTTGCCAGGGCGGTGGGATTATTCCTTATCGTGGGCCTTTTTGTTTGCTTTTCAGTTGCTGCGATCATGGCTGTGGGTGGGCTTCTTCTCTGCGTGCTGTTGCCTATCCGAGCCTAACATGGTCAGTGTTCCCACCCGTGCTGGCTCCTATTTCGTGTCCTCCCTCCATGTTTTCTGTGCACAGTCTGCCTCTCCCTCCCTTTCTTGTATTGGCCTGGAAATCGCTTTCTCATCCGATCTCTGCACCCACCTTGTCTATCTCAACAACTCGAAATAGCGTGACTCGAAGCAGAGTGTTTCTCCAGTAAAAACAGGGGTCCCAGAGGGGGGAAAAAACCTGATGTGTTATGCTGTGATCGATCCAGACACCACACCGGCAATGTCACGTGTCGTAATAAAACATCACGTATGCTGGACGTGTCATCAAATTCTGCTTCTTGTCACCACAAGGGTCTGGGGAGGTAATCACCCCCCAGAAAGGAAGCTGGGGGCAGGCAGGAGTGGAAAAAAGTATTTAGTGGCATGTGATGTGCATGTCCTTGAAGCAAACGGTATGTCATGGACATACATGTATGACATACGTGGCGATGACGTGGTGCTGTTTGCCAGTGATATGCTCCAGCAGCGTCAGACATATCTCTGCGGGCGTTGAGAGCTGCGTGTCCGTGCTGCATGCTGCCCCCTTCTGCCACCGCCTCGGCTGCCTCACCCGTTTCTGCTCCCTTCTACTCTCCCCTCGTTTCTGCTACTCAGAGGAAGGGTAATTTTAATTTCTGTTGGTTTGACTGGGTGCGAGTTGAGTTGCTCCCTGAAAGGAGCGTGTTTTACATCTCTGAATCGGCTGTAATCTGTGTGGATCTTCCTAAGCCTCCTCGGAGACTCATCGCCATCCCGAGGCATCCCACGTGCGTTGTTAAACTGGGAAGGTTTTGCAGCGTAGCTGGACGAGAGGTGTGAAACTCTTCGTTTCTGCGGCTTTGCGTGGTGGTACCTGGGTCACGGTGCTGTGGGGCACAGCATTCACCAAGGTGGACTGGTTTGGGGTCCTCTAGTGATGTATTTTGGCTCTGTCAGAGGCCTGAGCCAGGGAGGAGTTTGCAAATGTAAATCCCAAAGGTTCTAAAGCAGAAAGTTTTATTTTTTTTCCTATTGGAGCATTTTAAAATAGGTTTTCATGACCTTCGAGTGCTTAAAAGCAGCGTTAGCAAGCAGGGCTGCTCAGATCAAAATGTTTGCCTGCAAAACGTTCTTCTGGTACATGCGGGCGTTCCTGTGAGTCCCACCAGTTCAGCAATGATTGCCCTAAAAGAAAACCTCCCAGTACTGCTGTTGTCTGTGCCACCAGTGCAGGAGCAGTCCCTTGCTGGGAGTCGTGGTTCAAATGTCATAGAATCATAGAATTCCAGAATGGTTTGGGTTGGAAGGGACCTTAAAGATCACCCAGTTCCAACCCCCCTGCCATGGGGGCATGCCTCAGTAAGGCCCCTGACCAGAGGACGGCAGCGGTGGAAAACACTTCTCAGAGACCGGGAGTGGACTGCACAGCTACAGAGAAGAGAGGAAAACTTAGCTGACCTGGAAAACACCCTCTGCGAGTTCCCTCCTGAGCTGCGGAGAGACTAACGTGGCAGCAAGCTGGGAGGGGGAAATGGGAAAAGTGACTTCAAGGCCCGGATGCCGTCAGCTGTGCTATGGGAAGGCACGACAACCTCTTCAGAGAGATTTATAGTGATCGCTTCAGAGGGAGCTTCCTGCGAGAGGGGGAAATGGTATCTTGTTTAAATTATTTGTAATTGTTTTGGCGGTGGTTTAGGAAAGCAGGGAGTCATTCAGTGCGAAGGCAGGGAAAGGCTAAAGGCTAAAAATACCACTGCTGGAACTGTGAAGCTTCCTTTGTAAGGCGTCCAAGTTTATCGGAGGTTGAAGGCAGGGTCGGACCCTGTGGAGGAGGGCTGCAGCGGCTGGGAAAGCAGCTGGGAAGACGGAGAGCCTGCAGTCCTTAGAAAGGGAACCTGCCCTGATTCCTCGCCAGCCAGTTTAATGTATCTTTGAACTGAGATGAAGGTCTTAGCCTGTCACCTCAAGAGCTTTTACTGCTCTTTTGGTCCCGTTCTCCAAATTGTAAGACTTTGCGAGTAGATAGAGGAGTTGAATGAGTCAGATTCCTAGCCTGCACGGGTTGCTCCAAGTTATTCCAGGTGGAACTTTGGTCCAGTGCAATGAAAGTAACTCACTATGGGCATCAAAAAAGCAGGAGGAAAGTGAACAGGAAAACAGGAAACAACTGCCAGTATAAAAGCTGTTCAATTCATCTTTCCCTTGAGTATTCCCTGTTTTTGTGATACTGAATGTATTTTAGGATTGCAGGCAGAAAAGGCGAATGCTGGGCATGGACTGCATCGCTAGAGGTAGGTGTTTGCCTCTGGCTTTCGGTGTCGGTGTTGTTTATCCAGGATAAAACCATTTGCTGAACAAGTTGCTGTCTCCACACGTGAGCTGAGGCGACAGGATCTTGGCCAGATGGCCAGATCCATGTTTGTTTGTTCCTCTGGGTGGAACGCAGTCGTGCCCCGCAACACGTATGCAGCCTTATTTCTTTAGCATCTTGGAACAGATAGTCTCTTAGAGCACTAACCCCTTGTAAACAACCACCTCGTGGTCCTCACAGACCTCCCGTAAACAGGCAGCTCGAGGTGGGTTGGATGCATTCCTCAGAGTTGGTTTATTGTAGAAGATGTGCTTCTGGGTGAAGGTCTCACCCCTTACAAGCCAGTGGCGTTTTGTCTCTGTTTCAGAGAAGCGCACAGAGTTAATTTATCTCTTCTTTAAGAAATGAAATACATGTGTAAATCTCTGCAGGACTGGGACAGGAGAATGCTTCAGGGCACAAGCTGTTTGACGGTACTGACTGCACCTAGCAAGGTGAGGTCCCTTTCCTTACTGGGGATGACGAAACGCTGTCCCCGTGTGCCTTTCCAGTAACGCCTTGGCTGTATGCTGGAATGCTTTGGCCCATGCATCTAAAAAAATATATATTACAACTTTCCCACATCGCTGCCTGGGGCTTGGATGTCAAAGGTCCACTCCACAGTCCCCTGACTGTGTCCCGCCTGGCTTGTGACCAGAGTGGTGGCCCCAGTTAGGGAGATGGAGACTCCTTCCCATGGGCATTCTGTGGGTTTTGGGGATGACTTAGGTGGCCGAGGGGCCACACACCACCCAGCGAAGGCACCTCGATGCACAGGGTCAGGTGCAAAAGTATCTCCATCAGTCCAGGGAGAGCAAGCATCTTCCTGCCTCGTTTCTTGAAGGATTTTTCTCTGTGAATTGGCTTCTGCTGTGTGGGGCAGTGGGCACTGGTTTGCAAGCTGGATTCTTCATCTTTCTACCTGTCCGTTTTATATTTTATAAACCTATATAGGGATCATTTTACAACTTCACTTTTATAATCTGCCCCATAAATATTTTACGAGCTGCCTGCCAATCTGCAAGTAGTTTTTAAATAAGACATGATGCCTTAGGAATTTTTAAAGTCTCACTTTTTTTCCCCTCTGATACTTTTATTGAAAAACACAAGAGCTGTGTGGGGAAGACATCTGCTTTCTAGATAGAGAAACTGGGACAAATCCACAACAGGAGTAAATGAGTCGAGATTCAGGTGTGCGGCTGAATTACATTAACTCTTTGGCTGAGTGTCTCCAGCTCAGTGGGAGATGAAACGAGCATCAGGATCTTTATGCTTTTGCTGTGCGTGATATAGAAGAGATAGAGGAGATCGATGGTTTCTACAATGACAAGAAACTAGAGCATGAGTCTTTCATCAGGAGGCTTTTGCCTCGCAGCTTTTCCAATAAATATTACGAGCAAATGCACACTCAGAAAAGGATTATTTCACAAACAAGTGGGAGCTTTCTCTTCCCTCCAAATATATCGCAAAGCCACATGTTTAGGTACTTTTACCTGCCAGTAAGATTCACGTAGCAAATCAGGACGTTTAACCTGACATCGCAGATTTTTATGGGATTTAGTTGGGGAAGAAAGGCGAAAAAACTCCCTGTGTGTGTTATTTAAAGCATCTGAGGGGGAAGAAGGGAAGAAGTGTGGTTTAGCCCCAGTCAGCGTGTGCATGGCTTGTTTCTCTGGGTAGTTTGAGAAAGCGAGCGTGCGAAGGGCACGAGCGCTCGCAGCGGCAGGGTTTGCAGCAGGCGTTGTTAGGGAGCCGTTTCACTTCGGCGTGTCTTGTCCGGGCTTGTAACGATGCTTTGGGGGTCCCAGAGCCTGATTTCGTATGCCAATGTGATGTGCTGCTGTAGGTGTTTCCCAGCTCGAGCGAGGGGGATGGTTTGCATTGGCCCTTTGAGTGTGTCCCTGGGCAGTAAAACAAGGACCGTTGGGCATCGAGGTGTGCTTGGATCACTGGACGCAAGCGATGGCATGTTCCCCGCTTCTCTTTCCTCCCTCTTTATGGTCAAGGAATCAGGAATGTTAGAAAAGCTTACTTATAGGTGAAGTGCTCCAAACCTGAGGAAGAGGTGAGGGCATTTGCTGTGAAAGTTAAACAGAGGAAATCTGTGCTTTTGGTAGAAGGATGAATTGAAAAATTTGTGTATTTTTAAGGGGAAAAACAAGTTTTACGCCTCAATCCAGAACATTACTTCTGCAGAAAACTGACATAATTTTTGGCAACATGCAGCAGAAAAAAAATGGGGTTGCCAGAAGTGGGAATTGATAGTGATACTCATGCATCTAGTTTATATACTTAAAGGGGGAGGCAGTATGATGAAGGAGGAGAAGAATCCATTTCCACCCAGGGATTGCAAACACAAAAACGTGCTTTGAAATGACCCTGACTCCCAGGGTCTCCACGTGCACCTAGTGCTTAGTGTTTGAGTTAATTAGGCACGACCCCTTCTCAGGAAATGGCACTGCTGCTGCTGGAGCTAGGCGTGACGAGCACAGACACGTGGATCGCCGAGCTGTGTCTCCGGGCACCTCGTTGTCGCACTCGTGGGTTTTGCATTCGGAGCGCGACGGTCTCAGCTTGGTGGTTGCTGCTGAAATCGCACCCTGCATGGATAGCCCGGCTGTTTGTCACGTGCGACCTGTTTATTAGCCCTGTCATCTCCCTGCCTGTGCCCCCGGACCGCCTGTCAGCATCCCGCCTTGTCTCTATCCATCCCCCTGCTCTTGCACAGCCTTTGCAGTCTGGGTTTTTCCTCCTCTCCCCTTGGCACAGGTCTCCCCTTCTCCCCCAGGGAAGCTTGCGTGCCTACTCCCCTTCCCCAGAGTAACCTCGGGAGCCCACCTTGCTTTTCCCCTTCTTGACCCTCCTGTGTCCAGCTCAGCTGGGGCCAGCTCCGTGGCGGTGCGTGCATCCCATCGTATCGGGGCTTTTGTTTGTAATCGTGATCGTTTCACAAATCCGGTGCCAAAATCCTATAGCCAAAAGGCTGCTTGGCCCCTTGCAACCAGGCAGGCAGCAGTTCCCTGTAATAGGACTTCATGCTGAGGGCATGTTTCATGCAGATGCCTATCACTGCCTTCTCCTCATTGCAGTTTTGTTTCTGCTAATCGCATGCTTCTCCTTGCTGCGAGTCACGCTGGAGTGCTCACATCTCCCTGTCTCAAAAATCATGGACAGTGGAAGAGAAGACTCCAAGTTTCTCAGCTTTACGTGGCTCCTTGGTAACCCGAGGCTTTCTTTGAGGTGTGGTGGCTAGCGATCCCGCTGCGTGCTGGCTGGCTTGCAGGGGTCCCGTGCAGGATTTTTGCTCTGCCAAGCTGTGTCCCTCTGTCTCACGTCCATGAGGTTTGCTTTAAGGATGAGTTCCTGTATCCACTTATCGTATCAGGTCCTTGCAAAGACTGGCATGTATACATGCATCGGACATACCTCATCCCATCTTTTCAGACATGTATATATGTGTGTACGTAGTTCTTGCCTATGCAGTTACCTTGTAGCTTCCTAAGTGGTCGTCTGAGTGAAGCAGGACTCGGACACCAAAGCAGCCAGTTAATGCAAATGCAGTAGCATCACCTCAAGAACCAGCAAGAAGGGTGAGGGCTGAGTCGGGGGGAGCAGCCAAAGACTAATAGGAGAGTGCCCTGGAGGGGATGTGACCCTCATGTGGCTGTGGTTGCGGCTCCGTGGTGGGACTCAGCAGCATCCTTGCACTGACTGGTGCTCGCATGGGAGCGAGATAGGTCAGGGAGTGAGCATGCTGCCCTGTCTTTATTGCTGGTGAGCAGTGGGGATGGCATGAGTGGTAGCTCCCCTGGGTAAAGAGAGAAGATGTGCAGGAAACCCCATCCCGGCCAGGAATACGTAGGAGACCCTCGAAGGCAGCGAGGCAGCAGGTTTTGCATTGGTTTTTAACCCATCATTTTGCATGTATATAATATTTACACAAGGCTGTTTTCTAAAGTATCAAAATTTAACGTCCTGTGCAGATGCCCAGTGGATGAAGGGGGGCATGCAATACATACAGCGCGGTGCCTGCAAAAGCTCTGCGGTCCAGGAGATGCTGCTTCCGTGATTCTAATGTTTCATCCCATTCCCCTTCCATCGTCCTTCCTGTTCTTGCCTTTTTTTTTTTCTTAATAACAGCGAAATTACATGTATGGTAGAGTGGAGTTTTTCAGAAGCGTCTGCGGGATTTGGAAGCACGACTCCAATTGAAAATCAGTGGGCCTTGGGCCTTGAATCCCGTTAGGGAAATTGCAAGTAGTTTGATGAGCTAAAACCGGGACAGCAGCGATGCAGCCGCTAGAGAGGTTGGATTCGTCGCTGCTCGGGGTTTCTGTGGTTTGTGCGACTTGAAGCGAAGAGCAGGCTTCTGCCGTACCAGAGACAAAAACTCTCTTCTGGTGTTTGGTTTTTTTTCCAGGAGATGTGGCTATAGCAAGGCTAAACAAGATCCAGAAGAAGAAAAGATGCATTTTCATAACGGCCACAGTGAGTAAAGATCGGACGTGTATATACGTGGGTTTGGCTCTCTGTGGTAATGAGAATCCAAGGGAGAGGTTGTTTTAAAAAAGGAGATAATTCTGGTTTAGCTCGTGATTCACAGAAGAATTCCATTTGTTCTGTTGCTCAGTAAGTCCCCACCTGCCCCTGCTCCAAGCCCCAGGGAAAACTGAACATCTGAACAGCCCTTTTATGTGCCCAGCCGTTCCCACCTGTGCCTTCGCAGCAGATCTCTCTAGCGAGCCGTTTTGTTCTGTTCCTCTGCCTTTGCTGTGGGACCCAAGGTGCTGCTAATTCTGCCCACCCTGCGCATAACAACTCCGCGTTTTTGTGGTCTGGATGCGTCAGTCCAGAATACCTGTTTGAGACCCCCGCTCCACCCCAGCCAGCAGCGAGGACCAGTCCCACATCTGCTCTTTGCCTTGGGTGCCTCTGCAGAGGCGTGAGGAATAAATCCCACTGCTTGCTCCTGGGACACTTTCGGAAATGCTGTGTTAACACCCTTACGTACAAAAAAACCTCTGCAGTGATGCTAAAAAGTACATGTCTTGGTTGCCAACTGTTTTTCCGTACTTCCAAAGCCAGTATGGAAAAGCCTTTTTTTTGTCAAGTGCTGTGGGATCTGGGGATGGGTAACAGCGAGGTGCCTTTTGGGGTGGAAAAGGCAAACGCATCTTGAGTGAAAGTCAAATTTCCATTAGTGCCATGTAATGAAGGCAGCAGGAAGCAAATCAATTAAGAGCCACAGTGTAACGTAGCTGTCTTATTAGACCGATGAGCAGTTCTTCATGTCAGTAACCTCAACGATTGTCAAAACAAACTTCTAATATGGAAAATGAAAATACTTTTTTCCCCTCTCAAGTCCTGGAGAAAAAGCCTGCTATTGATTTTATTTACACTGATACAACCCACAGGCTTTGTACTGCAAATATTCCGTTCATTTAAATCTCAGTGACTCCGAATCTGAAATAATGTGGCTGATTGATTAGCTAATATGTGACTGGTAGGGCGTAATTTATTGCAGCTTTCCATCAACCCCCATCCACCCAACTTGCTGCGCAAGATGCTCCTGTAACCTTTTGCTTTTTTGTGCTTTTTCTCCTGGCGCACCCTTTCCGGATCCAAAAAGGGATCCTTTTGCAGCAGACCTCAGACCAGCCCGTTACGCAGAGCACTGAGAGGGATTTTTAGCTGCGTGTCGTTCCGGCTGAGCACTGTCGCGTGCTTTACTAAATGTGATGAAGTTGCACGTGTCACATATAAACTAAATGGCACTTTCCAAGAATGCTGTTCATTTTTCCTGTAGAAATAAGTTTCCCTGGTGCTCTGTTTTCCAGCAGAGTGCAAGGGAGAGCAGTGAGTATCACCCATTGCCTGTCATGCTATGTGCCCCTAATGCTCTAAATTTGCATTTGCAGTTAAGCTGCCTGGAGTAAGGACCTACATAGACCCCCACACCTATGAGGACCCCAATCAAGCTGTCCACGAGTTTGCTAAGGAAATCGAAGCTTCGTGCATAACTATTGAAAGAGTTATCGGAGCTGGTACGGAATTGCATTTCATGACCCTTAGGAGCATAGAGGGTTGGCTTTCTTAAGAGATACGGGAAGAACCATGAAGTATTTGTGCTGTTAGGTATCCTGCAAGTGATGGGGAGCATGTTCCAGCTGAAGTTCAGGGCAAACCTGCCATTGGGGGTTTGAAATTCAGGGATTGAACTGAAAACGGCAGAAAATGGTCACGTTTGGACTAAGCTGAATTATTGTGATGGATGCCAAGGGAAATGAGTTAGTTAATTTTCAAGTTCTTTTCACCATTTTAACCTTTTTCTCCTCCCCCATTAAGGTCAGTCTCGAGGCAAAACTTAAGAATATCTGGGAGAGAAAAAAAACCCACAAACCAAAGTCCAAAGCTTTTAACTTCCATGGTTAAAAGAAGAAACTCCCATTTTCTTTCCAGTTAAGCTGTTTGTTTGGACTTGCATCCAACCCTAGGAATGTTTTCTATCCTCTGAAGTTGTGTTTTTGGAGGTAATTTACTGTTCACCAGAAAAAAAAATAAAAAAAATCCATTTGGGTTACTTTTTAAAAAAGGTGGTCATAAAATCGGGAAGGGTTTATCGTCTATAAAAATATATGTTGCTGTGAAAGGCTAACAGCATTCCATCTATTTAACTTACCAAAGGAAGGTTAAGAAGCAAGTGGCTTGTGTTTTACAGCTATCTACACAGGGCGGTGATATAGGATGTGACAGGACTCTTTCATCTAGTAGACAAAAACATCAGACGGGGAAAAGCCCTATGGAATATAGAGCATAGCTCTTTAAATATAGGCAAATTACATTTTTATTCCCAGTTTTCATGTGCTTATGGCTTGTGGTACGCTGGCTATTTGAGACGGTAATCACTGTGATGTTTAGCTCCCCACATTCATTGAATACGGGACAGCCCTGCGTGCTTTGGATCAGCTAACTGTAGTGGCTGGGATCCATGTTGTAGATGGATGAGGGCCGGGAATTCTTTCGACGTGCTGTGATCCCATTCTTCCTGATTTTTCTCTGAAGGTGAATTTGGGGAAGTCTGCAGCGGGCGGCTGAAGCTGCAGGGAAAGCGGGAGTTTCCGGTGGCGATCAAAACCCTGAAGGTGGGCTACACGGAGAAACAGAGGCGAGATTTCTTGGGAGAAGCAAGCATCATGGGGCAGTTCGACCACCCCAACATCATCCACCTGGAAGGCGTCGTCACAAAAAGTAGGTACAGGTTGCTGTGGACTGCTGCCCTTGAGCTCTGGCTGATGGGAGAACTGGTTAGGGGAAGAATCACAGAATCACAGGATGGTTTGGGTTGAAAGGGACCTTAAAGCCCATCTAGTTCCAACCCCCCTGCCATGGGCAGGGACACCCTCCACTAGACCAGGTTGCTCCAAGCCTCATCCAGCCTGGCAAGACGGGTAACTTACATTTTGACTGTTCCTTTCATGATTTCTCAAAAAACAGTGAACTCCCCTTGCCCAAAATGTCACACTTTGTAGATCCAGCCAGGAACAGGTTTCCCAACATTGTACAGGGGGGTTGGGCCCAAAGGATTTCAGCGTTCCTCCATCGGGAATGGATAGATAATGGCAAAAATGCTAACAAACATTAGGTCCCTCTGCAAACCTTGCCTTGCCTCAGCATACTATGCGTGGGCTAAGAGAAAACCCATTTTCAAAGGCCCAAAATTAAATGAGACAGGAATAGGAGAGGATATGCCTGGCCAGTCTCAGGCAGTGGGTGGGTGATGGAGACGGCAGTAAGTCCGGGATGTCTGAGTGCTGGTGGAATGTGCTGCCTGACTTCCAAGGAGTTCAGCAGCACCTACCACCTGCGTAATGCAAGAGCATTTGGAACGCTGAGCCACCCGCTAAGTTTTTCAAGCAAACTCACTTCTTTATTCCTGCCTTTATTTGTTTACTTTGGAAACCACATGCGCCCCAGAGTGAGCAAAGATGTGCCAAGAAGTGGGAAATGATTTCCCTGTCAGGGAAATGGGGAGGAATTTGCTACCAAGAGTCGGGGAAAAAAAAAAGAACAAAAACCAACAAACTACAACCTCTGATGATTTCCAGCCATCATATTTCAAGAAACTGCTGAAGCAAAGCCCACAGGAGGGTAGTGTTGAGCCTTGTGATCACTCACACGGGATGTGAGCGAGGAGAGAACTTAGCTGAAGTTTTGCTTTCCAGGAGCAGGGAAGAAGAACGGGAGTGTAGGTGAAGATGACAGGACTCTGTAAAACCACAGTTAAGGCAAGCTCCCTCTGGGGTCTGCTAGCGATGCCCGTGGTAACTGTTGACCCTGGTGCTGGCATATCAGTTTTGAGAGGGGTGGAGGGCTTGGGGAAAATGTGAAATGACTGGCAGAACATCCCAGCACGAGAGTTACCGAGGTCTGACTGCTCAGATAGCAAAATATAACTTTCTATAACTTTCCCAGCTCAATTCTTCTCCAAATTACTGTATGCACTAAAGATAAGGGCAGAGGAAGGGATGGCACATCCGAGTGTGCCCAGCCCAAGCCTCTCTGCCAGTTGGTGCTGTGCTGATGCGGTGGAAGAGGTGCAGAGGGGTTATTGTTCCATTTGAAAGCCTTGGAGGTTCTACATTATTTGCCTTGAGGATTTTTTTTTTTGTTGAAAACAACTACTCCTTTACTTTGCGATATATTTTAAGTGCTTCGGGAAGTTCTTGGTAGCTGAAGAAGCACTGTCCTCACGAGTGTGGGTGGTTGGCTGCCCTCTTGTCTTCATGCTTGCTAACGTCAGAGCTTAGCTACTGCCGTTCAGATGCTGGTGCCTGGGGCCACATGGCTGCTGTTCGTACCATTGGTCATTAATCAGAGGCAAATTAGTTCTTTTTCAGAGCTGCCTTAGAGAAGGTACAGAGACCCTAGCTGTTTGTCCTGTTTGTAGCCTTATAACCCACTCAAAATCAGTGTTACTTTACAGTCAATAGCCTTTCTTTGCGTTTTCCCTTGAAATTGCATTTCCTAAAACTTTCAAGAAAAGGAAAAAAGAAAAAACATAACCAAGATAGGTTTATCCCAAAAAAAGAATAAATATCAAAATCTCTCAGGGTCACCTTGTACAGCCCTTAATAGCAGGCTCCCATTTCTAGCCCTGCAGGGATGTGGGATATTGGGCAGGAAGCGAGTGGCGATCATACATCCATAAAAGCTGCTGCTGACACGGGCTTGAGCCTTTTGGGCTGCCGGGGCCTCAGGGGATGGGTGGGAATCCCACTTCTAGAGATGTGCTTCCCTAGCGAGCTGCCTTTTATATAAAGTGGCCGTCTGCTCCAAAGGCCGTGGAAATGCTGGGTGCTTTGCTTCTAAATTGGACTTGGAATGACAGGAGCCTGTGTGGGGGGGGTGCGTGCACCCTGAGCCCCTCATTAGCTCAGTAAATGCTTGTTTACTGCACTCAAATATTTTTCCATTAGGCATCTGGAGCATCTTCCCAGCTATTTTCAGTGGACCAAAACAACCTTTATGAATACCAACCTATGTTACTGTCTCCAAGTATTGTTTAACTTCTTTTTCCCTTTGGTGTTTTAGTCATTGGCCCATCACAGATTCAGATCTTCAGGGTAAAATGTCTTTGCTGCATCATGATTTACTTTGGAAGTAAATTATGTTAAATTGAATTAGGCTATTTTTAATTCTGAGCGAAAATATCCTCGCAGGGGCTTAATACCTTTTAACTAATTTAGTTCAAACGCACACCTTAGTTAATTTGGATTAATCGTCTTTATTGGCCCTGTGCAGACAAGCCCTTAGCTATTTCTGCTTTACAGAGGTGATGATGCTCCTGTTTTCGTTTGCATCCTGCTCAGTGTGCACGTTGCGTTAGTACGTTTATATGAATGACATCTACAGACATTTTATGGCCCCGTAACTGGCGGGTGGGCACCCTGCTGACACGGAGAATCAGCCCTGAGCTTTTGAAGGGCCAATATTTACTTTTAATTTACTTCGCTGAAAGTGACTCTATTTGTGTCTTTATTTCCATGCTCTTGGATATGGGGCTAATTTATTCCACAATTACCGTCAACCTGCAGCAGTCAGATAATGAAACGTAAGTGCCAGAAATTGTCTTTTCTCTGATGGCAACCAAAGGTAGGAGTCTGAAGAAGGTCCCCCGGGGTGGTGGCACAATGAGACGCCAGCCTCGCTGCAACGCTGCCTTGAAGTGTCAGAGATAAGGAACCCCGTGCTACAGGGGTTTAGGCTTTAAAAACAAAAAATTAAAAAAAAAAATTAGATATACCTGGGATTTCCCTTCCCTGTGTAGCCACAATGTGTTC